CCCAGAGCATGCCAGAAAAGCGTGGAACAAGTTCCAGGTAGGTGATGCATGGGGTTTCTCGGCTGCTCCCCCACGATTGCTGCGATGTAATCGGCTAGCATTCCCGTGCGTTCTGGAGGACCACACCGTCTCTGGTGCTACTTCCGCAGCGCCTTTGATCAGGTTTCCAAGCGTTGGAATTATAACGCCGTTGTTGATTAACTCACTCCCACCCATACCCTTAAACGGTAACTTCGGACTTTCTACTTATCAATACTAACGTAACGCAGCGATGATCGTGTTTAAGGTTGCATCACCAATGTTTGCAAAAACATGTAACTGGTTTGGAAGTTGTATCGCCAGCGCTTGCGAAAATATTACGCAGGGTGCGAATGCGCCGTGTCCCATCAAACCGCTTCCCCACGTCCATGCCACGTGAGCGTTGGGCCGTGGCCCTTCACTCGGCGGCTCGGTCGGCTCACGCTCCGCGCTGCTGGCCGCAGGAAACCTGCGCTCGCGCCAGCCGGGCAGCGGAGCGCGGCCCGCTCCCGGCGGCGCCGGCGGCGACGACACGTTTGCCGTGCGCTCCGTGGCGCCGATGAAGCTGAAGCTGTCCCGGCCGCAGCAGCAGCAGCAGCAGCGGCTGGAGCAGCCGCTGCCGCCGCGCAGACCGCCTTCCCCGCCGCCCAGGTGGGTGCTCCACACCGAGCGCAGGGTACAGGCGGCCGCAGTGGTGGCCTGCGGATGGGCCGTGATGGTTTGCGATGTGCCATGTGGGCGCAGAAACCGCGGCAGCGGCTCGTGCTTAATATGTTATCGGTTTTTCCTGGCTTTGTGCATTTTTCCTATGTTGTCAGTCTTCTTGGATGTGGAAATTCGGGAATGTTTTTGCGCCATTTTCTATTCGATTTCAGTAGCTGTTCAGCCGTATATGCTCTGTTCATAGTGTTTGAAATCTTCCGTTTGAGTATTTTCTTTATGGCTGTTCATGGTTCATACATTCAGTTATTTGTATTGATAATGGCTTCGATTAGCCCTGTAATGGTGTTAATGCATCAGCGCGGGGGGGGGGCATGACTTCCATTGGTAAGCGGGCCGCAACCGACAATTCCCCATCCAGACGGCCGCGATGGTCACGGCTGTCGTGTCGGACGGGCTGTATCAGATCTCTCGGTGAACGTGTGTGGTGTGCAGGCAAGCTGGTCATTCGGCTCGAGATTCACTCATTGGACGTGCACCGTAAGTGACCATCTCGCTTCCGCGAAAGATGCTGCGGCAACGGGGAGACAGGCGGGCGCGTATGGTTATTCACTTACAGTAACAGATTACGAGTTGAGGAAATGTGGGATGTGGTTGTGTCCTAGTTATTGTTTTGTGTTTGTCGTACAGGTGCAGATGCTGCTGTTGCTTATGCAGGAGATGAAATTAGGTGGACTCATTGTCGTAATATCTTGTGTCTTGACCCGACAACTCCTTCCTCATAATACTTCCTCTCCTTCCCCAGCGATATTAGTAGAACCGTTGGCAGAGCGATCCGCGCCGAACATTGTTTCCGCATCCATTCAACCTAACAGTATGTCTCAACTTCTTTCCTGCTGGGACGGAAAAGTGACCTGACCGCCTCATCCTTCGCCACCCGGTGCGTAAAAGGTCAACGACATGGGTGGGTGTTGACCTGAAGCGCGTACACGCGTTGTGAACTGTACCGTTTTGCGCCACTGGCTGCGACATGGCCGCCGCCGTGCCCTCCGTCCCCCGCCACCCAGCGCCGTGCTGACACGCGCCGCCCGTGCCGGCCGCCAGCTCGGAGCCGCCGTCGCCGGGCTTCGTCACGTGCGGCGTGTGGGGGGCACCAAGTATTACACGCACACGGCGCGCTGCCGGCTGCACGGCTCGTACGCGTGCGACGCGTGCCGCCAGTTCGCCGGCCGCGTGCAGCCCGCGCAGCCGATCCAGTGCCTGCTGGGCCTGGGCCGCTGCCACATCCCGGTGTTGGCGCCGCGGCACGCGGCCGACACGCGCTGCCGCGCCTGCTGGCTCAAGAAGTGCCTGGCCGCGTTCAACATGCCGGCCGAGCGGCACGACCGCCTGCGCGGCTGCCTGCCGCCCAGCATCCGCCAGGCGGTGCCGCTCGCCGCCGCCAAGCCATACCGCCAGACGGGCAAGTGCGAGCTGGACGGGTAGCTGGGGGGGGGGGGGGGAGGGGGCAAGAAAGAGGGAACTGAGGGAGGGGGAGGTAGGGAGGAGTGCAGGTGCGGGCGCGGTTGGTGAGGGAAGGGATGTTCGCGGCGTGTGCAGGGCGGAGGCGTGCGCGAGGTTGCGGCTCCCCGAACGGAAACGTCTGCTGGTGGGCGTAACCGTGAAGAGGTAAGCGGCGTGTGGAACATGCTGGAGGAGACGCTGGAGCGTCGGCTGGGAAAGAAACCGACGAGACCGGGAAACCCACACCTTTACCCGCGTGTTGCGGCGTCAGACACGGTCCCGAGTGTTCGGATGCCCCAGCGGGATTGGATTGGATTTGGGATGCACCAGGGAGAGAGCTAGCTAGGTTCCGACCCCGTTAATTCGAGACAGGCTTGCCGTTGTTCGTTCTGTACGCTCGAGCATGGCGGAAATCATGACCCGTTTTCGGAATGCTGCGGGGCTAGGTATGAGGCCCCGCACTGACCCGTGGTATGACAATCTTGTACCCCCCGGAATACTGCGTGGTCTGTGGACGCATAGCCGCGTGTTTTCGCACGCAACGTGTGTTTAAACGGATCGGGGAGCCGCGTAGCGAGAACCATCGGAGCGCCGGCCGACCCGGCCCGGGGCCGGCCCAACGCCATGTGGCACGCCTTGGTGCGACCCTGTATCGGCTCACTGGGTCTGCCGTTGTCCACGTGACCTGACGCTCTCGCCGACCTGTGACGTCATCGATCAGAGTGCTTCGGTGCTGACATCACTGTACAAACGTTCTTCGTGGAGGATGCTTTGTCTTAGCCAGGTAGTCCGTTGCATGCGCGACGCCATGCCAGAGGCTGCCGAGTGCGTGGGTTGACACTGTTTTTATGTGAAGTCGTTGTCCCGGTTAAATGAGGTGATTACGAAATAAATATGTTGGATCGTTGCATGTGTGTGGTATGTGCGTGAGGAACACGGCGCAGAGGGAGGACGTGCCAGGCAAGACTCGTGAACCAGAGGACCGTGATGGATGCTTTGACGGTTTTAGAGCTATTGTTTGTGGTTGGTATCGGATCAAATTATGAAGAGAAATGTAATTTTCACCGATTATTTCATTTCGTGGAGCAGCTCCCAGTAATATGTTAGGCACGAAATGCACCTGTCTCAAATCCATCAAAATGCTTTCTGGGGGAGCACCTACACGGGCTGGCTATGTCCTGGCTATGTCCTATGTCCCGCTTTCTCAACTGCAAACCGCTGTGCACTCAATTCTTATGAAATATCGTCCTCATTCAAACTCCAATTAGCGCAATGCGTGTTGCCTTGAAATGTGTTACGGCCAATATCCATTTTTAGTGTACCTACCTGACCACCCTATCGGTAAAGTTTGTCAACTCACAATTTTGAGACTCGTTCAAGACTTCCGTGACTTTGTTTCCTACCGAATTGGGAATTGATCAGAATGCTAACCATCCTTTACGTTTCGTTAAATGTGTCTGGGTGTATTTAAAGGCATGCAGGCTTTCTATACACACGCACCATCATAGCAAACAACAGTCGTTCACGGTAAATACATACCTGCTATCGAACACGTTGTAGTCCCAGCCTTCCGCTAACCAGCACCTTTGCCACCATGCCGCACTGCACGGCAGAATTTCCTCCAGAAACCGTGATCAAGAACTATATATTTCTCCAGCTACTGCAGTGACCCAGTGGCGCATTTACACTTCGCACAGGGCTCCTCACCCGTGCAACAGCCGCAAACGTGCGCGGCATATTACTGATCGTCTTGTCGACGTCAGCATATATGTTATCACAGAAAAGCGGAACGGTATAGGCACGGTGTTAGATTATCAGTACGACCTCCGGAAGTGGCAACGACAGCCGGGCCATTATTGGTCTTAACAAAACTATAGTATTGCTGGGTCATTCTACAGTAATGCAAAGCGTGTTGGTGTGCGAAAATAAGCCGGCATCACCAGTACTAACCAACATTTAATCAAAAAACTATCAGGCACATCGTTCAACACTTGCACAACTTCGCCCGCTTAATGGTGTACTCGTAAAGCATTTTACCGTGGTCCGAGCGTCCAAATGTGTTCCACCCCGCTAACTGCGCTGACTTTGCTTTAACAGTTTGCATCCGTCATAGGCCAGCGAGTGCGATTCGTTTCTACTGTGGCCTGTAGCCGCAAAGACATGTTCCTAACCCGTCCGGCGGCGGTGTGCCCGCACACAAGACGGGTACAAGACATGAACACCAGCGCATCATTGGGCAGGACTGACTCAATCACGCCCCAATTTCCCCAATCAATCACTGACTCAATCATGAGACGATTTCAGCAACCTCCCGCCACGCGACGAACAGCAGCACTTTGCCACGCCATGCCCTCAGTGGCCACAACTGTCCCGCCTCGCGGGGGACCACGCGCCTGCCAGCGCTCAAACCCGGCGCCTCCTCCCGCAACACAAGCCGCCACCACCAGCGACATTCCTGCCGTCTGGCGCTGCAGGCATCTGAGGTACTTGCCCCCTCACCGCCCTCTTCCCGCTGCAGGTACTCTGCCTCCTCCCCTGCCGCCCTCTGCCTGCGGTAGGCACCAGAGATACCTGCCCCAACGCCCTGTTCTCGCTGCAGGTACCGGAGATACCTACCCCACCGCCCTCTGCTTGCCGCAGGTACCTGAGATACCTGCCTCCACTGCCTTCTGCTCGCTGCAGGTACCTGAGATACCCCTCTGCTCGCTGCAGGTACCTGAGATACCTACCCCCACTGCTCTCTGCGCGCGCTCCTCGCTCTCAGCCTGTCATCTCAGTGCTCCTCCGGCCCTCCCGCCGCTCTACCCCCCGCCCTCTCCGCGCTCTACCGGCGCTTCCTGCCGCCACCGCGGCCGCCCTGCTTCGGCGGCGGCTGGCCGGGCGCCTTGTTGCTCGAGATGGACGAGCACTTGGGGATGTGACGGTCGGCGGCGGCCTCGTTGAAGCGCCGGCCGCAGTGCGGACACTCGACGTAGTCAGACGTGTCGGACGGCGGCGGCGGCGGCAGGTCCTCCAGCTTGCCGCCCGCGTCCAGGTGCGCCTGCGCCTGCTTGGCGGCCCGGATGTTGGCCACGAACTCTTCGTGCTGCTTGCGCCAGTCGGCCTTCTTCGGAGACTGCGGGTGAGTGGGCACAGGTTAGGGTCCTGTGAGAAGAGGAGACTGTCACCACCTCGTCAAGCATCGTGGTCGTGGTGTTTGGGGGGGGGGGGGGCGGGGGTAGGGTCGGTTGAGGAGGCCACTGTCCGGCCTGTCATGCAGCGCTGGGCGGATGCCAGGTCACCGTCCGGCCAGTCATACCGTGGTGGAGGTCATATCGGTCGTACGGAGGCCAGGTCACTGTCCAGTCGAAGGATGCGAACGGGGTTAAGTCTGCCAAATGGGCTGCCAAACGGGCTGTCAAATGCGCGTCGTGGTAATTCATCGGAAGTGGCATCTCATCGTTAATGGCGACTCGGAGCGGCTGTTAGTATGCACCACGAGCATGTATAGGCTGGGCATTTGCCAAAATGTGCAGGATAGCTTCCCCGGTGCAATTCTAATGAGATCCGCATTTGACCCAACGTGGGTGCTTAGAAATCAAGCGGTCCCCAATCCAGGTTTAAACAAAGTAGACTAGCTCTGGATGGGCTCAGAGTGTTACGCTGACGAGTTACCAGCCCCCAGTATACCAGGAAGCACTAGTTGAAAGGCAACAAAATAAACCAGCTCTGGTTGGGCTCAGAGTCGTTACGCTGACGAGCTATCAGCCCTCAGTATACCAGGAAGCACCAGTTAAAAGGCGTTTATCAATCACACGTTAGTTACATTCTCGGGTACGCGATATTGCAAATTTGACTTATTATTCCAAGTGGCTATAATAAGTCACAATCAAAGCACAACTTGCAACGTTGACGCCATAACGTTTGCTTGACAGCGCCGTTTTAAAACAGTATCTCTTGAGTACGGAAGGTCGATAACTGCAAGCTTGAGGACTCTCTCAGCATTATGAGACTAAGGACTTATAGTGTTAGTTTATAGTGAGAAGCCAGGGGTTCAAGGTTCTTCCTGCCTATGCCAAGTTAAGGCTGGAATAGTGAAGGTGAATGATTGCATATGCAGGGGTCATCAGCATACCACCGGGTAGGGTGCCAGTGAAACCGAACGCCACTAAAGAAAAAAAGCTGTCCATCGGTGGCAGCGACAGGGGTTCTGTCAACCAGCCGGCCCGCCCTGGCCAGCGCAGCAACAGCCGCAGTTTTTTCGCACATATCCCCGCGTTTTGTTTTCATCACAAAAGCATCAGCCCCTGGCAGAAATATTTATGTATTTGGTTAAGTCTTACTGGGTCCTGCGTAAGGCTCCGTCATTAAAATACAAGTTTGATGCATTGCTCCACATCGGGAGGTTGAAGCAGGTCGATGCCGCCGAGAACACTGCACCATGTTAATTGGTCCAGAAAATGTTTTCTTAGCAGTCAACAGAATGGTCACGAATGATCGCTAACAAAATCCCTTTGCAACACGCTTTGTTGTAAATATACCAATGATTTTTTTTCGCTCATTGCGTACGCAGTTTGCAAAGATAATGGATTGCAAGGCACACCCTTGGTTTCAGAATGACATACTGCGAAGACAGTTTGTCATATACCGTAACAACTTGCGGATTCAGCTGCAGAGCAAATCATGTATGATCACACAACCCAGACGCACAGTCCACCGTAAACGCAAGAATCACCTCATCTGCCACTGAAAGCGCCAGAGACAAGACAAACATAGGCCGCAAGCAGTCTGGAAACAACGACATCTGTCTGAGGCAATTGTGCTTCGAGAGACAAGACAAAAAAACATAGGCCGCAGGCAATCTGGAAGCAACGACATCCGTCTGAGGCAATTGTGCTTCGAGAGACAAGAAAAACATGGGCCACAAGCAATCTGGAAGCAACGACATCCGTCTGAGGCAATCGTGCTTAGAGGGAGAAGAAAAAAACAGGGGCCACAAGGAATCTGGAAGCAACGACATCCGTCTGGGGCAATTGTGCTTCGTCACCAGGCAGGTGTTGTGAGTGGCAGGCATGTTCGTGGGGATGCGCTGAATTAAAACGGTGCCAAGTGCTGTGAGCAATCCATTGTGTGATGCCGACTGACAAAAGGTCTCCAACGGTCTTAATAAATGAATCGGATCGGGTAGCAGGCTGTCCTGGTCTTTGGTGATTAAAATCGCCTGGTGGGCTGTTAAGCTCGTTCACTGCACCTCGAAACTGGAGGTTAAGTGACCAAGTAAAGACAGTGATCACCCAAGTCCGCGACTGTGCTCTCGGCTCCGTAAAGTAGACATTGTTTTTCACCTTTTGGCCGCGTCCCACCTTATCATCGTTCGCACCACTCTTGATCTTCTTGATGTACTGCTCAGAACTCCGTGCCCTTGACCCGCATCTTAATCGGGTCAAACACCTTGCGCTTCTTCTTGTTGCTCTTTTCGCAGATGGTCTTGTGCTTCTCCAGCCGATCCTTGGCGAAGGCGCGCGTGCAGATGGGACACTGCGCCAGGTTGGGGTCTGACGGCGGCGGTCGCGGCGTAGGCGTCGCAGGCGGCTGAGAAAGACACCGCCGTGTCAGCTGTCCTGTGGGGTCAGGAGCGGAACCGGAATGCTCAGGCAGGCAGGGGTATAACCACTGGGGGGGGGGGGGGGGAGGGGACTGAGCTGAGGATATACCCATTCAATTTTTCCATAATAAGTTTGAGGCCCCTGCAGTGGGAATGTTTGTAGAACGTACGTTTTCATGTTTTTTTGCCATTCAAAATGCTATTAGTCTGCTAGTTGTGTCAATGTGGAGTGTCTAGTGTTCTAGTTCTAATGTCTAGTATTCTAGTATAACATCCGCAATCCTGATAAACCCTCCCACCAATCTCGGAGGCGCGGTTACACCCAGGCAGGCGAGTTGGACCCAACCATAACGCCTACCATGCGGTACTCCCCAGGTACCTTCCCTGGGATAAAAACATTCACGTACGTTGTATTTGTTTGGTCGAATCCATCCATGATGTGGCTTTCGGGTGTTCGGCTTGGTACAACGTTCACTAGGCTCGGTTTGTTATAACCCTCACCCATTCGTTACAACACATTGCAAAAAAATAGGATAAAATACGATGCTACGAAACATCCTTTGTACTACAAGATACGATAGTGCAAAATACGATGCTATAAAATATGATGCTATAAAATACAACACTTTAAAATGCGTACGATGGTCAACCAATGAATTTCATAAACGTCCCAAACTGATAGGAACAGAATGTACGAAACCCAGAGCACACATACAAAGATGGATGAAAACAAGCTTTAAGTACCATGGAATCCACATTGACACGCAAAGCTCAAGCGGGTACATATATATGGCGTACAGTCAAATAAACCCCAGTACAGGCTTAAAACCGAGGTGCATGATCTAACGTTTGCATTTTCATGAGTTTTTAATCACTCAAGATAGAGATATAGTGGTGGTCGGGTGCAGGTGGTTCCAAGTTGCTGCGACACGATAAGGGATAAGGGATAAGGATAAGGGATCTTGCTTGGGGTCATCCAATCGACACCTGGGCAGGTAGAGAGACATTGGCATGGAGGAACGCGTCTCCCTTAGTGAAAGAGATTGATGTGGCATTAAAAGAGATTGGACATCGGAGGGGGGGGGAGGGGGGATTCTCTGCATCTTAGCACTTTGAATACTTCCATCACGCATGTTTTCGCGGTACAAAAATATGATTAGCTGCGAAAGTTACCTCTAGCTACAGAAGGTAGCAAGTATGAGTGTAATCACCAGCAAATATAGAAACTTTTAGATATATGACGTCGGTGGTGATTAGACCAAGCTGTGTGATTACTTTGACAGTTCGTGATGGCCATTTGCTAAATTCCTGCAAATAGTATGGTTTACAGACGGAAATTTGAGTATGCATGTATGCACACCTGCGGACATTTCTGTATGCATAGCAGCCGTATTGACTACTCAAAGTACGGAGAAGTAACGATCCATACTGTGCGAAGGAATCGAAAAATACGCGACACACATATTCACTAAACCTTTATAGAGTGCAAGTCACTATGGGGGTCCTGTAAACATCCAGGCAACGCGATACAACCGTGATTCGAACACGGATCGCTCGCATGGCTGCCAACCACCCTGACCACTCGGCCGTTTCGTTTCGCGGCGAAAAATATATTTCTGAAGCGGAACACCTATGAATTACCGGACATACCTACCAGCATTCTGCAAGCTGAGATTTCATTCCAATTCGATCTAGCGTTTGATACGACTAACGGCAGCTTTTAGTTGTCCCTAACACCCAACAATTTCGGTTATGTGAAAATTACAAAAAAACAACTGCCCGAACTTTATCTGAAACGCCTGTTTGTGGACATAGATTATTCACTCAGTGATTCACCATTTTAGTCGATACCACATCTAATGTCATGCAACCTCAAAATAACACTCAAATTAGGAAGACTTATTCCGCATCGTGATTTTAGCGTAGCGTTTAAATTCCATTCAATGCCATGCATACACACATTCTCTGCATACATAGTTGCTAGAATTCTTCGCGAATCTCTTTTCAAAGGGATTCCTACGTAGATCAGCACGTCAACGCCATCGAATATTGCGAACTTCGCTTTGATATTCCCGCCCTTAAGTCTAAAGCTGCCGGGTGATGAGTGGCGTTGGTCTACTGAACATCACACGACAGCACGCGAGCTTCTTTCTCGCATTGATCGGGGCTGCTCAGGGGACTCAAGCCGAACAAAACTGAATTTGAGGAGAAAACTTGCAAAGGTCATGAAACCATTCCTGACTGTTTATTTCTGTTCATATTGTGCAAGCAATGTGAGGCAGGCTGATAAGGCAAGACCATCAACTTTTATATTCTTTAAGCGTTCAAGACCAACGTGGTCATTGTTTGAGATTCCGTATCTTGTCAGCCGCAGTTCCACACCAGGCGCCAGTCACCAACTGTTCATCACGGCGACTCTCGACGGACAACTGCTTCTCCCAAAAGACTTTTCCCTGCCCCCCTCTCGCACGAGCTCGTACCTCGTGCTTCAGTGGGTTCAAGGACTGTCTCTCCCTGCCCCCCCCCCCCCACGGGTCCGCACCTCGTTCTCCTTGAGCAAAGTTGAAGGACTGCCTCCTCCCTGCCCCCCCCCCCCCCCTCCCGGGGTTCGTACCTTGTTCTCGTTCAGTGGGTTGAAGGACTGTCTCCTTCCTGCCCCCCCCCCCCCTCCCCTCTGTACCTTATTTCCTTGAGCGGGTTGAAGGACTGTCTCCTCCCTACCCCCCTCCGCGGATCCGTGCCTTGTTCTCCTTCAGTGGGTGGAATGACTCTCCTCCCTGCTCCCCCTCACCCCCCACAGGTCCGTACCTTGTTCTCCTTGAGCGGGTTGCTGGACTGTTGCCTCCCTGCCCCCCCCCCCCCCCCCCCACCCTCCACGGGTTCGTACCCTGTTCTCCTTGAGCGGGTTGAAAAACCGTCTCTTCCCTGCCCCCCCACCCCCCCCCCAAGGATCCGTACCTTGTTCTCCTTAAGCGGGTTGAAGGACTGTCTCCTGGAGCCGGCCCCGTTGAAGGAGGGTCGCCGGGACCCGCCGCCCTTCTTGGACGGAGGTGCCTGCTGCAAGCGCGCCTTGGAGGGCGCCGGCGGCGGCGGCGCCGGCGACCGGGACCGGGACTTACTCTGTGGACCGTCAACGAGACCTGCTCAGACTGCGCACCGGGCGGGGTGTATGACGGTGGGGCGCTAACGGCAGGGGTTTACCCTCGATAGTTCGGTACGGGCAGCAGGGAAACGGGGAAGGCCGTCTGGTTGAGGACCAATGTGGGGAGAAATACGATCAGGTCAAAGAACAGCGCACCTTTCTACTTCCTTGCTCCACAAGTACTACAGAATGAAGATGGCGTAAGCAATTAATAGCGCCCATAGTCATGATAAGAGCTTTAACACAACGACAACTTAATGCCTGGAAACGATTTTAAAAATGGTCGTATCAGACAAGCTATGACCAATTTAGTTAAATGTCGGGGCACGTCGGGACCAAAGCACAATCACGTATTCCCGGCGCAGGCGTGTTTGACATTGTACAAAAACGGCTCAAAAACACGTGGTACCGGTCAGCGGTCACACAGCTACAAACAACTTTACACTCCAAAAGCAAACAGAGCCAGCGGCTCATCCACGTCAAACCACACAAGGCAACCAGGCCTGCAAAGATCATGAGCCAAACGCACGCAAGCCCACACCACGCTTCTGCCAGCACAGCGTCACAGGTCACCGAAGGTCACGTGCGAGGTCAAACGGTCGCGGGGTCACGCACCGAGCCGGAGCCCATGTTGATGGCCGCGCGCGCCGGCTGCCAGTATAGGCCGCGCTGCGTCACACCTGGCCCGGCGCCGGGCCGTCGCGCAGCCGCTATGGTGACAAGGCCAAACAGAAGGCGCGCATTGAGCACGAGCGCTGAGCGGCCGATTGTGGCGCAGCCCCGGGGCACGTGTGCCGGGACACGCACGCGGCTGACGCGCGCACCCTGCAGGCAATCGATGAGGGTGGGCGACCGCACCGAATGTGGGAGGCAGGAGCGGGTGAGCGTTTGAGACTAGAAGCCGAGTTTCATCACATTCGCCCAGTGTGATGATGGGTGCTCGCGCGATGGAAGGATTCTATCGCTTTTGCCGTTTTAGGGATTTTGGGAATTTTTGACTCGGGGGAAGTGAAGTGGGTGAGGCTGGAGTTGCTGGAAATCTAACAACCTGGTAGTTGAATGGACACGGGTGCGCTTGTAATGGAGCCAGCTATTTATGACAAACGGGGCTGCTACATGGTCGGACGACATCAACTGCGGCAACCCCATCGAGCTTCCGCGTTTCTCACTACTCCATCGACCTTCTAGCATTATGTAAACTTGCTGTATACCTTCTCCAACTGCCTTGCAGTAAAACCTCCACCCGGGTGCTTTCTGCGAATTCTTGCAGACCACATCAGCCGATCCCTGGAAGAGCCTATGTGGATCAATGGGCGGTGGGCGAGTACGCGGACCAGGCGGTGCCTATTTAATGACCCACGGTCGCCTTGGCTGCACGGACACTCGCATGCCGCTCAAGCTCAGCAGTTCGGCGGATGTACTAACGGCTCAGTTTCGAAGGTGTGTGACACTTACCATGAAGTGCCGGTTTTGGCAAAAAAACACCATAATTCAACTGCGTAGCACCAAGGCCTGTGAATGCAGTGTTTAACTGGCTGGCAATGCAACAAATGGCGATGAATGAGTGTCCCATATTTGACCATCACCAGACCCGAAATCGCACGAGGAGTCCAATTTTCTGGTTAGTTACGAACATTTACATAAATTGTCAAGTGGTGCTGACGTCACTGATTGTAGGGTCGCCGTGGATTCCAATCACCAGGTGCCTCGCAGTCGATTGCCGCGGCGACAGCTGGGCCGTGATTTGGCTGCCGGCTGAAGGTCAGCTCTTTGATTTCCTATAACCATCAGTAGAGCAGCCGCAGTCGAGGGACCTACACGTCGAAGCCATCGAGAAGCCGTTCATTGCGATACAGTTGCACAAAAGGATGGATGCGAGTTATCGTCATTGCCGAAATAATTAATTTCACTATTCTCTATCTTTTTATTATTTCTGTAAAGGCACTACATGTTGGACTACAGAACCTGCAAAAACTTCATCCTCCTACATAGCTAAAAATGCAAGCATATCAAATTAAGCTGAGCACAATCATGAAACGCAATAATCCGGATCAATCCATAATAGCTGAAAAAGACTTCAAGCAAAACGGTAATTGAAGCATATGTGAGCGAAGTTACGTACCCTTAAATTGATCTACTTTCTCAACTAAATAACTCAACATCCATGGCTGAGTTACCAGAATTCTGTCCTTCCCGTCAGGAGTGAGTTTATTCTAGCCTGTCGCCTGGTGAAGGAGTGGTTAGATGCCACACCCTAGCCTGTCGCCGGGCGAAGGAGTGGTTGGATGCCACACCCTAGCCTGTCGCCGGGCGAAGGAGTGGTTAGATGCCACACCCTAGCCTGTCGCCGGGCGAAGGACTGGTTGGATGCCACACCCTAGCCTGTCGCCGGGCGAAGGAGTGGTTGGATGCCACACCCTAGCCTGTCGCCGGGCGAGGGAGTGGTTGGATGCCACACCCTAGCCTGCCGCCGGGCGAAGGAGTGGTTGGATGCCACACCCTAGCCTGTCGCCGGGCGAAGGACTGGTTGGATGCCACACCCTAGCCTGTCACTGGGCGAGGGAGTGGTTGGATGCCACACCCTAGCCTGTCGCTGGGCGAGAGAGCGGTTGGATGCCACACCCTAGCCTGTCGCCGGGCGAAGGACTGGTTGGATGCCACACCCTAGCCTGTCGCTGGGCGAAGGAGTGGTTGGATGCCACACCCTAGCCTGTCGCTGGGCGAGGGAGTGGTTGGATGCCACACCCTAGCCCGTCGCTGGGCGAGAGAGCGGTTGGATGCCACACCCTAGCCTGTCGCCGGGCGAAGGAGTGGTTTGGATGCCACACCCTAGCCTGTCGCCGGGCGAAGGAGTGTTTGGATTGTCACACCCTAGCCTGTCGCCGGGCGAAGGGACTGGTTGGATGCCACACTCTACCCTGTCGCTGGGCGAGAGAGCGGTTAGATGCCGCACCCTAGCCTGTCGCCGGGCGAAGGAGTGTTTGGATGTCACACCCTAGCCTGTCGCCGGGCGAAGGAGTGGTTAGATTGCCGCACCCCTAGCCTGTCGCCGGGCGAGGGAGTGGTTAGATTGCCGCACCCTAGCCTGTCGCCGGGCGAAGGAGTGTTTTGGATGTCACACCCTAGCCTGTCGCCGGCGAAGGACTGGTTGGATGCCACACTCTACCCTGTCGCTGGGCGAGAGAGCGGTTAGATGCCGCACCCTAGCCTGTCGCCGGGCGAAGGAGTGGTTGGATGCCACACTCTACCCTGTCGCCGGGCGAAGGACTGGTTGGATGCCACACCCTAGCCTGTCGCCGGGCGAAGGAGTGGTTGGATGCCACACCCTAGCCTGTCGCCGGGCGAAGGAGTGGTTGGATGCCACACCCTACCCTGTCGCTGGGCGGGAGAGTGGTTGGATGCCACACCCTAGCCTGTCGCCGGGCGAAGGAGGTGGTTAGATGCCACACCCTGGCACCAGTTATGGGACCGGGCGGAAACACGATGACGGACGGCGCTGTAAAATTGGGCATAACTGATGGCGCGTTCACCACACATGTTAGCAAGCATAACTTGGTCAGAAGTTATGCTAGATTTCTGAACTATGACGTTATGTATGAGGGCTTTGCTTGCAATGATGTGAACACTCTGCTTTTGTGCCTGCTTTGCTTTGTACTCAATCACATGCGCGTACAAATACCACGTATAAACAACGAAGTTTTTGCATTTTTCCGCGTTAGGAATTTTTGTGACTGCACGGTAGCGCAGAGTCACACTGCTCGACGTGAAACAGCGGCGGCTTGTTCTCAATGATAACCACAAATGGTAGTCACAAACCTGTACATGGCCACGGAAACCTGGCTATAAAGCTTATCTTTGTCTGACGGCCATACAGTCCAGATATGCCAGGCTACCGATTTATACCGCCATGTATGGAGGTTTTGTTGACAATGAATCGAGTTCGCTGCTTTTCCTAAGTAAACTCTATTTCCAACAAACCTACGTGCGGTACATTGTGGACTGGTAAATGCCGCGCACTGTTAACGACGTTGGAAGACCAGACTTTTTCCTCCTCTGTTTGATTCCCCCTTTTTGGTGGGCCTTAATCGTGGGTAAATTTGGTGAATTTCGCCTAAACTTGCCTCAGCGGCGGCCTGGTATCCGAGGTCGGCTCTGCAGACATCACAGCTGACTTCAGGCGGCCGTGTTTGTATCGAGCCGGCGGTCCGGCGATGGTCCGAGCCCTACGCGGAACCACGGCGGGTGCCCCAGGCACCACACACAGCGTCGGGCACCGCCACGGCGCTGTTTGTTGCCACCGTGACGGCGTTCTTCCTTCTTTGCTGCGGTTTATCGCGGCGGAACCGATGACGACGCGGCGGCATGACTGATCACCGCCATCGGTCCGCTCTTCGTATCATCCGGGCACCTTGACAGCGCGCCTGCTGCTTCAGTGCGTCCCGCCCCAGACAGCCCGCGGGGTCGTAAGTCTGAGCCTCAGGGGTCCTGACGACCCAGACAGCCGTGCCGTGTGGGTCTTTTGAGGGCTCAGGTCCATCATCGGCTGGGTTCGAGGTCGGCAGGGCACGCGCCAAGAAAGCGTGAAGGGAAAGGAAACTAAGGTTCGCTGCTCTATTGTTTCTGGCTGCAGGCCGACAACAATGGAGAGCAGCAGCAGCAAACAAGTGAGAGCAGCGTGTTTGCGCTTTACGAT